TGATGTGAAGGGGAAAAAAAAAGTTGCCCAGTGACTTTCAGGCAAATGCGGTCTTGTTCAGTACCTCAGTCCCTTCATTCCAGGTTTAAAATTCAGTCTCTGAATTTTCCTTCCTTTCTGTCTTCCTTCTCTCCCTCCTAAATAGCTGGGGTGACAGGCACCTCGGTGCTGGGCTCTGATCTGCCCCTTTTTGAGGCCCTCAGGAGATCCCATGCAGCAATGTCACACTCTATAGCCTTCTGTGTCCCAGTGTTCCCATATAATTGTGGGTGCAATTATATTAGCAAGATTGTGGGCTACCAAAGTTCTATAGAGGACAGACTAGGTGCAGGTCCTCTTGGCTCTGGAATTTCCAAATCTGTCTGGATATCCATCATTGTTAATCTTTTCTACAGCAGCCTGGACTCAGCTCCATGGTGGTGGCAGGGAGCACACACATGAATGCCTAAATTCTCTTCCTGCCTTTTTTAGCAATTTTCCTCTTCTCCCAGTTCCAAGGTGGATATCTGGGGTGGGAGGGACATAAAGGATGATGGAGATGTTTAGGGACAGCGACAGGACAAGCCTGCTACTGGCAGACGACAACTCCTTTCAAAAGTTTTCTTAGACCTCTCTTCGTTTGAGCTCAATAGTCAAAGTATTTGTAGGGTATGCTTCCTTGTTTCTCAGTAATCTGCTTCTCCCAACGCAGGGAATAACTTGCGTCTAGTTGTCTGGGCTGGCAAGAGAAACCGGCATAGAACTTGATGGGCAAAGGGAGGGAGGGAAGAGCATCCATTACATCTTTGTTTCTCACGTTGCCTGGAGGAGGGGGCAGATTTCCTGCCTTATTCTGTTTTTCCATGATGGTGGGTAACTTACCAGATCATGTTCTGATACATGTTCCCAGTGGCATCCAAAACCGTTTTAGCTGTGTCAGACACACATTCCATGTGCACAGATACACACAGATATATACACCACATACCCCCACATACCCAAAGCCCACCTATCCCACGGATCCAGCTAAGGGACAGGGGAAAATGAACAGTAGAACTCAGGAAGTCAATTTCTTGTGACCTATTTAGAGCTCAGCCACACACTGGTGGTGTGATTGAAGTCACTAGCTTCCCCTTCCACACTGTGGTTTTCCTACCTGGAATCCGGTGGCCCTGTATCCAGCCCCAGGGGAGGAGGGACCAGCCAAGAGGGTTCAACTGCCCAACTTGATAATGACACCCCTGGTGGTGATCATGCTTTCCAAAACTTGGATCTCTTTGTCTGTTTCCAACCACCCCTTCCTCTTTTTAAAGTAACAATAGTGAAAACATATAAGAAGAGTAGCTTCTCATTTTCTCTGCATGATTCTGGGAGCTGGTCTGAGTCAGTGTGCAGGGAGGTGCAGAGAGACTAGTCTGGGTCAGCACACAGGTGTCCTGATCCTAGTTCTGCCTCTAACTTGCTAAGTGACTTTTGCCAAGTCTCTTCCTCTTTTAGGTCTGCAGGCTTTTCACATATTAAAATGAGAAAATAGGGCCAAATGGTTCCCAAGCCCCTTCTAGTTTTAGGAGTCTGTGTTTTCCGTGAGCAGTGTATTAGTTTCTTGTGGCTGTTGTAACTAATGATTATGACTTTAGTGATTTAAGTCTACAAAAACATATTCTCCCTTAGTCTTGGAGGCTTGAAATCTGAAATCAAAGTGTCAACAGGGCCACCATGGAGCTTCTAGGGGACGATTCTTTCCTTGCTTCTTCTAGCTTCTAGCTGCTGCTGGCATTCCCTGTGATCTTTGGTATGTAGCTGCACCACACCAATCTCTGCCTTCATGGTCACATTGCCTTCTGTGTGTGTTTGATGTATTTCTGCCTCTCTCTTATGAAGATACTCATGATGACATGAGTAATATAATAATATTATATCATCTGATAATCCAGGATGATGTTCTCATCTCGAGACCCTGAACTTAATCGCATCTATAAAGACACTTTTTCTCAGTCAGTACACATTTTCAGATTCCTGGGGTTAGGATGTAGATGCTACAGTCTGGGGAAAGGAGGGAAATTTTCAGCCTACCAAAAGCATCTCTTCTGATCACAGTCGATTAAAAGTTCAGGGAGATTAGAGACATGCCGGAGTGTGCATCCTTGTACCCAAGGACACATAGTCTATCGGAGGATCATTACCCGCATACAACACTATGAGGGAGCCCCAGTAGCCAGGTGGCATCCAGCATGCACAGGCTGCACAGCCTTGTGGAAAGGGTTTGGGCTCTGTACCTAGGCTGCCTGGTTCACATCCAAGCTCTGCCATCTGCGAGCCATGGACCTTGGGCCTAATTATCCTAACTCCATAAGGATGTTATAAAGATTAGGTATAATATGCTCAGGGGTGGGAATTTAACTGGTGCTTATGATTCAACATCGAATAAATAGGACAGCATAGCCTTCCAGAACTGAGAGCGATTCCCCAGTGAATGATGAGGATTAGAGGGCAGAGAAGTGCAATGACTTGCCCAGCATGCATGGTGAGGGAATGGCATAGATAGCTCTATAACCAAGATCTTTCAGCATTGGTCATTTTCCTCCACTTCCCAAAGCCTTTGCTCTTAGGTAGAATCTTTTGCACTAGGGTTTCAACAGATAGGAGGGGATTTCCATTTACACTATCCAGAGAAGACCAGAGAGGGCCAAGCTCCCCAGACGCACACAGATGCAGCCCTCAGGCTGTCATGATTAGCTTGTTGCTCGAAGACCATGGATGGACCCTATCACCAACAGAGGAGGGGAGCTCCGAGCCCACAGCCCTTCTCCTCTCTCCACCGCCCATCTGGCCTACCTCTGTTTGAATGGTTCTTATGAGTGTGGCTTTTGCCAGTCAAATGAGATAAGAGTGAACAGATGAAACGCTGTTTGCTACCAGTTCTCTGCTCCTATCTGCGGGTCTTTAGTTGGGTCAATGTTTAACCCTTGTCTGGAGTCAATGTTTAATCCACGGCCAGTCAGCCCTGTAATCCATCAGTCCCTCTGCAGCCTAGAATATGGAGTCACATTAGTATTAATCACTGAAAAATAGCATGTGACAGAGAATCTGCCCAAGCCCCAAAGAGCATCCTCTCTACCATTTTAGAGGATATTGGCAGCTTAGAATTAGTCATACCACAGTGACCACTTACCCCTGTCAACAGATCATTGTAGAGTATTTCCTGACCCTTGCTGTGCATGGGCAGAAGCACAGCATTTATTCTTCTTATTCCAGTTCTGCCTTTTGGGTTGGGGGAGAAGAGCATGCAAGGGGGACTGTTGTTCTTCCTGCTGGCTAGCAAGTGTGGCCACTGTTTGGAAGCCTGCTGGGAGAGCCAGGGCTGGACTAGTCTAGCAGGTTTGGCTTGGACAAGTGTTTCGAGAGTTTCTGAACCTGGACTTATGCTTGAAGGCCCCAACCTTTTCCCGGAATGAGTCTTTCTGTTTTGGAGCAGGTGCAGGATGGGAGAGAACTATTTATAAAAAAGACTCCCTACAGGCCTGACTACTGGGTGATAGATAGTAGAGTGGTTTTCCAGGGTCATTCCTTAGGAGCTCAGAGTACGACATCTACAATCTGGTAGATTCTTGCCCCTAAGAGAATAATCAAAGGATGGCAAACTGGGTGGGGTGCTGGGAGAGGGTGAAAGAAGCGAAGAAGGCTATTGGCAGATTAGTGACTCCGATCTTTGAATAGCGTTGGACCTACTGGTCAAACACATGCAAGTGAAACTCTGATCTTTTTTCTCTCCCAAATGAATGTCCGAATCACCTCCTTTTCCTTGACTGCTCTCTGTGTCACTGCCCAGATGTTTAGCCCCTCAATTATTTTCCTTGCTCAGTTGACTCCCAACCACAGAGTGGAAACAATACTCCTTCTGGGGCCTGTGGGGTGGAAGGGTTGCCAGTGCTCTTTCTCATTCTGACTGGAAGAGGGGTGAAGGCAAAGGCTTGTGCCTCGGGGACTGGGTCCATCTTGCCCTGAGGAGGTTGTGATGGCCCAGGGAGCAGCAAAGCTGAGCACCGAAAAGCCTAGAAATGGAAAGTTGGCTGTGGCCCAGAAGATCTCTTGGTTCCCCTTTGGGGTTGGTTGCTGAGTCCCAAGGAACCTTTATTCTCTGGTTCTGAGTGGCAGGGACAAATGAGCAAACGTCTTCTGAAGTTAACAAACCACTCTCCTGCCCTTTCTGACCTCCACACCCTGGCTAGGGGAGGAGCAGAAGGAGGAAAAAATTTTTGGAGTAGACATCCAAAGTCAATAGGCAAGTGTCAGGTAACAGGGCCCAACCTCTCTCATAAGCCACTGGAGTCCCCCCAAAAGGCTGACTGTTTCCTTGTTCCTGGTCTGAGTCTGGCCTTTAGCCCAAGGTCTGCCTGGCAGGTAGACACTGGAAAACTGTCCATGTTATCCCCTGCAGCCTGTGCCCATCTAAGCCTCAGTGTTTCCATCTGTAGACGGGGAGTTCCTTTCTTCCTGGTGATATATACTGCAAGTAACTTTGACTTGTCTGTACTACACTGAAGGTGGTGGGTGAGGAGAGAGCTGGCCAATGGAAAGCCCAGTCTAGTTGCATTTGCTAAGCGGACAGCCCTTCCCATGCCAGGCCCTAAAGAAGCAAACTCTTTGATGCCCTATTTCTGAACTCTTGTCACAAGTGAATTGCAACATCTTTATGGCAATTTGGAAAACACTTTGGACTTGGTAGCCCTGGCTTTCTCCCTCCTCTCTAAAATACTCAGGGTTGGGGAGGTAGGAATTTGAAATTCAGGGAGAGAAGTGGCCTTTGTTTGACCTCCATGCTGAGAGCAGAACTGGTGGTTCTAGACACAGCAGGCAAATACATGGGGAGTGAAAACTAGGCCAGAGGTTGAAAAAGGCAGAACATAAAAATAGAGTCCAGATCCTAATCGGTGAACGTGTGTCTTTAGTGAGACCAGGAGGCAAACAGTGGCCGCTGGCCCGGTGACTCACTACTGGAAGTTCCACATGGCTCCAGAGGTCTAGGTGGGGTCCTGTGGGGCTAGCACGTCTCTGAGGCCCACCTGGGTTTCAGCTGACCCTGTGAAGAGTGGCAATGGGTGAAAGCTCATATTCTTGCAGTCAGTGAAGGGAGCAGGCTGGCCTGGGAGGGCCGGTGCCCATAAGCCACGTTGTGTTACTTAATGAAGAATGGATAGCAAGGTGACCAGAGAAAGTCCACTTCCTTCAGCGTGGTCTGCATTCTCCAGTCCACGTTTGCCAAGTTCTCAGCCCTGTGTCTGTGCACCAAAGGGACATAACCAAATATGCCATGTCTACTTGGTTGAAGTGCGTGATAGATCTTTCTGTGACGGCACCTTCTTCTCTGTGTGACTGAGGCTGCTGGTGAGCAGATTCTGCTTTTCTCAGACCATACGGGCCATTGGAGGAGGAGAAGCATCCCTCAAAGTGTCAGCAGAGGACAGCGAGAAGTTGGCTTAGGGTCAAGCATTTGCCTTGAGTAACCTTAGATGGACACTCCTATGGATCATTTCAAATCTGAGTTCTACTCGTAGAAATGCCAGCAAGCACCCCAGGGCTGGTGCCTGAATTTTTAGCTCTCAGGACTTTTTTTTTTTTTTTCTTTTTAATGCTTCAGTAGGCCAGGACAAGAATAAGCTACTTAGTGAGGAAAGAGAACAAATTACCAGAAAGGATTGTGCAAGCTAAAAGAAAGAAGCAAGCCTTTGGAACTCTAAGCAGGAAGAGACCTGAGCAGATGAACAGTCTGTAAATGCAAATGAGGAGAGAGGCAGATGGCACAGCAATCAAGGAGGAGTGGAGGTAGACCTGGTGTTCAAGTTTCAGGTTGCCCTTTCCCTGGTAGTGTAACTAATTAATTTCTCGGGGCCTCAGTTTTCTCATCTGTAAAATGGGAGCCAACACACCTTCCTTTCAGAAATGTCACATCAAATGTGACAGAAGGTGCTGTGTGGAGACACAGGAACGAGCAGCAGCAGAGCTAATAAGCAGGAGGAAGGGAGTGTCAGAGAGAGCTGTGCCTTGACCCAGGAAGCTGCTTGATCCTATGACAATCAGTGGCTTTCCTGCACTCTGTACTAGATATCCATATAGAGGTCTCCCTGATTATAGCCCAGTGGTTTCCCTGCCCCTCGTCTCAGTGGTGAGGACATTGTGCTACCAGGGAGATACTAGGAAATAAAAAGATAAAATCTCTGACCATATACCTAGTGGTATAGCTGGCTTGCTCCGTGTATTCTGTTTCAAGCCCTTTAAGAGAAACTCCTGACCCAGCTGCTCATCAGTTGAGCTATAAAGGAGAGCTGTGAACACTTGGGGCTACCCCGCTTCCTTCTCTCTATACTGTCCTCAGATCTTATCTCTGTCTCCTCAAATCTCCTGGCCCTGACATTGACCTTGGCTCTGCACTGGCTCTTTCTATGAGCTTGTACTGGCACCTTCCCCTGGTGTATCTCAGCTCTCTAGAACACTCTTACTCCTGGACACTCTCCTGGCTCTAGTCACTTGGCCAACTTGCTGGCTGGACGGGTCCCCTCCTGCCCTGAAGATAGGTAGATGAACAGGACATTCTAGCTGCTCAATTCTAGAGAGAAAGTACCAAAGCTGTTCAGAGGAAGGAAGGAGAGGGTGGCCAGGAAGCTCTTCATGAGGATCAGATCAGAGAGAGGCCAGGAGAGTCTCGGGTGATTTAATGGCTTAGTGCAGGGGTTGGCAAATTACAGTTCAAAGGCCAAATGCAGTCTGCCTTCTGTTTCTGTGAATAGGTTTCGGAGGAACCTAGCTGTGGTCATTGGCTTCTGTTACCTCTGGCTGCTTTGTGCTACTCAGGAAGAACTGAGCTGCTGCACAGGGACTGCAGAGCCTGCAAAGGCTAAAATATTTACTGTCTGGGTTTTTTTGTTTTTGTTTTTGTTTTTGTTTTTTTTAACAGAAAAAGTCAACGGCCCCCTGGTTCAGTGCTCTGGTCTTCCCTACAAGTGATCTGAGGAAGTCCAGTTTGGTGAGACTGCTTCTCTGAACAAGAGTCCAAGACACGTAATGTCCCACCCTCAAAACTATTTGCAATGTGTAAATAAGGTATACAAAAGGCTCTGAGAATTCCTGCATAAAAGAATCTGTTGTTCTTTAACTTAATATTTCCCAAACTTCTTTGAACTGCTAAATCTTTTCCTTAGCACCTCCTAACATCCCGAGAAGCTGGTGTTCTGTGGCTGCCCCCAGAAAATGCTGTTTAGATATAAAGAACAGCCTGAATTTGCAGGGAAATGGATGGCACTAGAGCAGATTATGCTAAGTGAAGCTAGCCAATCCCTAAAAAACAAATACCAAATGTCTTGATATAATGAGAGCAACTAAGAACAGAGCAGGGAGGAAGAACAGGAAGAAAAGATTAACATTTAACAGAGACATGAGGTGGGAGGGAAAGGGAGAGAAAAGGGAAATTGCATGGAAATGGAGGGAGACCCTCATTGTTATACAAAATTACATATAAGAGGTTGTGAGGGGAATGGGAAAATAAACAAGGAGAGAAATGAATTACAGTAGATGGGGTAGAGAGAGAAGATGGGAGGGGAGGGGAGGGGGGATAGTAGAGGATAGGAAAGGTAGCAGAATACAACAGTCACTAATAGGGCATTATGTAAAAATGTGGATGTGTAACCGATGTGATTCTGCAATCTGTATTTGGGGTAAAATGGGAGTTCATAACCCACTTGAATCTGATGTATGAAAGATGATATGTCAAGAGCTTTGTAATGTTGTGAACAACCAATTAAAAAAACAAAAGAACAGCCTGACTTCTTGACCCATCCCTGCCACCAATGAGTCAGGTGGCCTTGGCTGAATGATGCACCTGTCAGGGCCTGCTTTCTCACTGATTGAAGGGAAAGATGGTGTCTGTCCTGACTCTCTTACAGATTCTTCAGATAGGTCCCTAAGATAGCAGGCATGAAAGGTGTAGAGGGATGACTGTGGTCTTTGGGTGACTAGTTTTCTTTCTTCTATCACTTAGCAATGGGGACTAGGCCAAGGGCACGAGTTCTCTACTAGTCCTCACTTTGCTATCCATCACGAGGTGGGTTCACCCAGTGACTTGAAACAGGTGACTCCGTGACCAGGCCTTAGTTTCCTCACTTCTAAGCTGAGGGGTTTAGACTCAATCTTTAGGATTTATTAGCTTGGAAATTCTATGGTTCCATTCGGTTAAATGCCTGAACTTGCTACTTCTCTCTCACAAACTATGAAAACTGCATCTCTTTGGTTTCCTTGGTCCTGGACTAGGTGTGAGGAGGTACTGCTGATGGATTTCTGATGCTGCTGACAGTTTAGGAGGCAGAGCCTTCTGAAAATGTCTACTTGACACTTCTCAACTTGATATTGCTAGCGCAGGAGGGGCAGGAAAAGAGCAGATGCGATTTCTAAAAAGACAGTGGGATCCAGGGTGGAGCAAAAGTTCCCCCACAGACACGAGGTAACATGGTCATCAGGCGGAATCCACATAAAATTCCTCTTTCGTCTCCTACCCTGTCCCCCAACACCATTTTCCAGCTTTGCCAACAGTCTGTGATATCAAGGATTTATAAGAAGTTGAACAAGAGGAGCTTTATAAAGATAAAAAATTACTAAAAAATACTTTCTTCCTCCATGAATTTAGGAAATTCCAGAAAGTCTTGGCTGAGTGAGAAGATCCATGACATAATGAGAATGGATCCAAAGAAGGACTGTGAGCGGAGGGGTGGATTTTCTTCCCTTTGGTCTCCTTGTAGAAACTACCTACCAATAGGGACATTTAGGGGACTCCCAAATGAAGTGATGGAGACACAGGGAGATTCAGAGTGCTGGCCTGGGTGTCTCTTCAGAGGCCACCTAGCCCCTCTCTTCCCTCAGCCAGTCACAGATATTTATGGGGGAGCCCACTGAGTTGGAAATTCTCTTGGGACATAGATGGATAAAACACAGTTACTTCCATAAAGCAGTTTAGACTGGGCATGAACAGACAGGACCTGGCATGCTTGAGTAGACTTAAATGTGAGCAGCAGACTGCATGCTAGCAGACAAGGGGGCACCCAGAGAGGGCTGGGGTGGTGGTAGAGAAGTTGCCACCCTCCATATTGGTTGGAAGCCTCTTACATTTTTAAACATGCAGGAGTTGGAATTCCACAGTTTTCCTAGGTGACCTCTTCCAGTGTCTAATGGGTCCTTTCTTGAAGCCTTCCTTGAGTCATTTGGCTACCTTTGGCTGTGGACAAGGCTTGACCTTCTAGGCCTAAGACAGTCAGTGCTCCTTCCCCAAGTGGACACCAGGGACTAAGGTCATGGACATGCTTGGTCTTGGTCTTCCTTTCATGGCACTGAGCCATTTATTTTTCCATTCCTGAGAGTCCTGGGTCCCTTTCTGGGGCCGTCGGACCTGCTTGGGTAGGAGAGTCACCCTGCAGTGTCTTTCTCTCCTCCTG